ACTGACAAAGTCCTATTATGTGATGCATATTTTGTGTAGCTGGCACTATTCAGCAGCATTGGCGGGCAGTATAATAGCCTTTATGCATGTGATTTAGGTTCATTTTTGTAAGATTTTTGGAAGATGGAGAGACAAATATGTACTTATTTCAGAAAGTATTGATTATAGTCATATGATATGAGTGCATCAGAAAATAGAGGTCAGGAAAGATGCCAATGTCTATTGGCATTACTATATTGACAGACAGTAAAGCTCCAATGATGAATGCACAAGTATGTGTGGGTTGTGTGGGGTACACTGAAAAAGAAGAGTCTTGCTGACTTTCACTTGTGCTATGATAATTGATTTGAATTGTTGTTTTAATGCTTTTGAAACACTAAGACATGGTTTTCAGGCAGTGAAATTGCATCTGAATTTGTGTCACGTTTTAGACATTTTCACGTGCTAGTTCCAAATCAAACATAGCAGCACAAGAAAAAAATTGAATGTTTTTATTTTATTTTAAGTAAGACATTTTCTCTTCTTTTCAGATAGTGAAAAAGCATTTGATTGTGTGTGAAGTTTCAGACAATTTGCCAAAAAATAATTGACCCTAATAGGACAAAGTCAGTTATAAATGACGGATCCCTAAAAAAAAGGTCAGATGAAGAAAATACATTTTGGAAAATGATTTTACTCCTAAATATATGCAAAATATAAAGTCAATAATTTTTTACGCTGTAAATTCATAATTATTCCTATAGAGGGGGATAAAGTATATATTTAGAAAACATTTACATTTATATATTTATATTCATATAATTTATATTATATATAAATATATTTAATATATAAACATAGCATGATTTTCTTAAATATATTCATGCATGTGTGTGTATTTATATATACATAATAAATATACACAGCACACACACACACACACACACACACATACTGTATATTATAAACAAAAACTTTTATTTTGGATGCAATTAATTGCGATTAATTGTTTCCCAGCACTAATAATAAGATAATATATCTTGAATTAAGTTTAACACTACTGGCATACAGTTCTTGGTTTAAGTATAAAAAACTATTTGCTAATGGGTTGAGAAAAATACACTTCATTCAATAAATTATAACAATATATTATTTGAATACACACATACTGTACTCAAGTACATTAATCTTGTTTTAAGGAACATTTTCACTAGAAAAACTTTTTTTAAACAATGCTTCGCACATTATATGCAGTAAATGTTCAGTCAAAAATGTTCTATTAAACCAATGGATGCAATTTTTAAGAGACAGACTGGGTAGAAAAATCTCTAAGTCAACAACAGCCATTAATACACGGTGTAAAAGAAAGCACTGCAAACATACACAAAAAACCTCTAAAAATAGCTCCCTCAGTCTGCTATTATAACATCTAATCCTGTTTAAAACACACATCAGTCTCTAACCAGCACCACTGGCAAATCACACACGAATATTAACCCAGATCCTCAAAAAGCTAAAATGCATTTGTACTATATTTGCTGAACCTTCATGCTTTGTCATTCTGCTAATCTATTTTCTTTATTTAACTATTTAGTCAATTATTTAAAGCTTTACTGTAAGGCTGTAGTTGACGTTTCACTGTGTAAAGCTGCCGTAAGTCATGTGAAGTCATGTGCCCTCGATCAGGTCACTGTAACTCTGTAAAATGAGAGGCTGAAGAGTCCATTCTGACCCAGAAGGCTTTGCATCACTTCTATGCAGCTTGTGAATCTGTCCGAATCAATCAAAGAATGTAGAATTTATCCAGCACACACACACACACACACGTCACACCTAAACGACATTCTCATGGAAATAAAGCGCATTCTCTTGATCTTCATTGTGTTGCATAATGAAGGATGCATCTGGTCTGAAGAAAAAATACTGCTGTTATGAAAAAAAAAAACACTTTAGAAGCAGCTGTTTTCATGCACTAATATTTGGAGAGCTTTCCACGAAAGGAGTACACAAAAGTGCCTGAAGCTCTTAGAAATTGAAGTTTTGGGGGGGTTTTTCAACAAATGGTCAGTGAAAGGAGGCACTTAGGTTGTTGATGGTCAACCTCAGGAGGTCAAGCTAAATATTATATCAGCGTTTTTATTTTCTGTCCGTTTTATATGAGGTTTGGCATTTTTGCAGCCCCGTGACATGTAAAATACAGTTTTAAACCCAGATTTTGTAGTTTTCCAGTAATAAACATTAAATAAAAAATCAATAACATTTAATCAAATAAATATATAAAAACTATGCTAGAATGGCAAACGGTTGCGAATTCAGAACAGAACAGAACTAGCTAGTTGTGATTAGTGATAAACTTATACTTTCATTTAATTAGAGATATTTGTAAAAATAGTTGTTGCTGTTTTTTCTTACAAAAACTGGTAGGATTAAAGGTTGAGCTTGATGAATGCAGCCACCATTTTTGTGAAAATGTAAAATATAACCAGATGATTTGATGAGTGTAATATTTTAAAGAATGTATTTTTAAACATTCCACAGGTAAGTGTTTCTGTTCAATAAAATTGGTTAATAATTAAAACAGCTTTTTCTACAATAAACTGAACATCAGTTCAACATATTATACTAAACTTAAAACACTGTTGTATGATTTTAATTGCTGAGTGAACAGTTGACCTCCGAGGCAGGACAGGCCAAAAAAAAAAAAAAACTTTTTAAAGATATTTGATTTGTTTAAATTTATTTATTTTTTACTTTTTTTTTATTACAAACACTGTTTAAGAGAAGATGTTATTATAGTAAAACGACCACTAAACTCAATAACCTACAGTCTTCAGATCAGAGCGTGTCCTTGATGTTCAGCACAAGAAGGTGTTGGGAGTCGTGAAAAAGCAGCGCCGGATACCAGTCAGGGGCCCCCTCAGCGGTGGGCCATGAATCTCCTCTGGCATTTCTCTCTCCTCCTCAGTTTTTTCATCTGTCCCGGTCTTATGTAAACATAACGGGAGTGTCGATGTGGAGCTGCTGTAACTTGGCAGGCCGTAAAACACCCCCCCCACCCCCTCTCCTCCATCATAATCCCAGTAAGAAAATAATTATGGCCTGGGGCATTTATTACCTATTCCCTCACTCCATATATGTGTGTGTGGAACTTCGTATTTCAAAGAAAAAAATGCAGGCATAAATATGAGGTAGCTTGTATGGCTGGACTTGTTCAGCTGGTGAGTAATTCCTATGGAAGTCTGGCCTATGTTGAAATGAGATACCTCTGGGGCAAGAATTCCCACCGGGCCTTGACTGCATTATCCGACTTTTCTGGACCTGTGCCTTACCCATGAGTGAATTAGCTGCAGCAATTTAGTTATTGCTCCTTCCAATTTGTACACAACTTATTGAATGGCTGTTGCAGCTTTGTCCTGGCTGTTTGCTTGCTGAGCAGGATTCCAGGGACGCAGACGCGCAGATCATTCAGCTGGGCTGAAAATACCAGCAGGTGCACTCATAACATGGCGCAACATGCGAAAACAACGAAGAGGAAAACCAGCACCTTAACGGTTTATTGCTACAATACCCCATCACATAAATAGCTCCATATAACGCACAAACACAAATTTGTTTCCATGTGCATCCTTGTTTGTAATCTCGCCCTTCACAGCTACTTAATCGGCTTGGTCTTGTTTTGATAATGCGGGCGAAAAAATTTTTTTCCGGCCCATAACACGACGTCCTGAGCATCCCTGATTTAAAAGCATCTGTGTACATCGGTGTCCTTTTCCCCTGTGATTGAAATGTAAGCAAACTGAATTATTTACCTTGTGGGAGGCCTCTGACTCTCGTAAATATTTGTTCCAGCACTAAACCAGCATGACATGGCATTTCACAATGGTTTGATGCACATCACTCCAGCACGCTAAACGTGGGCCACCGGAGTAGGACGAGAGGCCTGTTTTTTTCAAATCCCCAAGCACATCACAGTCATATCACACTCATCAACATCTGCACCAGTGAGTCAACCCGCTGTGCCCTTACACAAGAGGGACTCGACCGAAGACAGAGCAAAAGATGGAGAGAAAGAGCGAGAGAGAGAGTTTAAGTAGAAAAGGATGGGTGACTTGATAGATACCATTTGGCCTTTGCTGGAAAGAAACAAGGAACTCCAAGAACTAGGGATTCTTACTTCACTTAGCGTGCAGTTCTTAATCTCTCAGTTAGAAACATTATGAAGAACAGAAAGAAGGCAAATTGTAGAATAACATCATTGAATATACTGCCGTTTCTTTAATTATGGGCATAATTATGTTGGTTTTTATTAAAATTAACAGATTTAAACTTTTCTTTCTTTTTTATATAAGATGGTCATATTAAAAACGATGCATTCATCTTTTATTTGTGCTGCCTTTTGTAATAATTTCAATATTTAATTATATAATATAATTTCAATCATTTTAATCTGTAATTTCAATTGTTTTACCCTGGATTTTCCATCTTTTACACATACTTTTTACATCCTTTACTTGTTGTGTATATATATATATATATATATATATATATATATATATATATATATATATATATATATATATATATATATATATATTATATATATATATACGCATACATACAAACAAACCTTAAATCTTAAGTCTTGAATCTTATAAATTAAAAAAAGAAAAAAAAACCTATGCAAGTATGAAATGATTATTTCCCTGAGTTTATTTAGAGTCCATAAAATGCTGACTCTGAAATTAGCTAGATAAAGAAGCCAGCCTTTTTTATTCCAAAATGTTATTGTTAATTTGGAATATGATGGAAATGACATTTGCTGGCTCAAAAATCAAATCAAATCAAATTCAAATAAAATAAAATAAATTACTTGATGAATGTATATACACTGTTGAACAGCTTTTTTATTATTATTTTTCATTGATTTTTTCCCCATGTGCACAGGACCTAAAAATGCCCATAGTTTAAGAAAGAGCGAATATGTAGAATCCCTTTGATTTAAATAAAGTTGGGATTGGTGTAATCAACAAGAGTCTGTGACTGAGAGAGAGAGAGAAAAGGTGAAGAACAGTGTGATCCACCAGGAGTATAAACAGATTGACATGAGAGAAAAGGCTCAGGAGAGAAACTCACTTGCAGGATAGCCGATTTATACCATGTATGTAGTAACAGTCGCCGCCATTCACGCAGTACGCCTTCTCTGACTCGTTGCATCTTCTGGCGTGACCCGAACCCGGAGATAACGTTGTGGTTACTGCAGGAAACAAAGACAAAACATCTTAAGACATCAGCATGCCACCCAAAAAACAAAAGACAGAGCTTTCAGTGAGTGCTTAGTAAACAATAAAGAGAAAAGCCACATGGTTGTGCAAGAACCGAAAACACACATGCCAGCTTCTCAGATAACATTCATTTTTATCACATTTCAGCTCATGTCCCATTCCCTACAATAACAGTCATTCACTAGAACAATGACTCCTTGGTTTTCATCACAAATCTCTCCGTACATCTTTGCTGCTCTGCTGAGGTTCGAGACGTTCGATAGGCAAAGATAAATATTTCAGTGAGCACTGGAACCCCCCCCCCCCCCCCCCCCCCCCCAAACCACCTCCCGCGTCCA